TATTTTTTTTATTTTTTTGGGGTTATAATCAATGCAGATGTGGAAAGGACACTGCATTGAATTGAAGATTTAATGAACTAAAAAAAAAAAAGAGATATGAAGCAAATTTGGTTTAGGCTGTGTTGGTAGTGACTCCCATTTTGGTACATTTTGACCCAATCCCAATTGGCAATTGTCTACTCTGAATCTCTTAGGTTTTGCTGGACAATTTGATTAAATCCAAGGCTTAGCCACTGAATGGACTTGAGGATTTTGAAAAATTTATCAAAGTAGGAAGGCGGGAAACAGCCTCCTTGTATAATTACAAGGGTAAGGTCTGCGTACAACTGACCCCCAGATCCCAACCAGTTGGAAATATATTGCGTATGTTGTTGTTGTTGTTGTTGTTGTTGTATCAAAGTAGGAAGGCGGGAAGTGTTGTAATACAGATTGTGGATATGTAAGATAAATAAAGAGAAAGCTGTAGAGAGAACATAGAGAATAAGAGTGAAGAGATAGGGCGTAAAACTATCATCTTATTCATGAGTCCTATATATAATGAAATACAATGTACATGACTAATGACTTAATAGGCTCCTAGTCATACCTACAAAGCATATATCGAGTAATGTCCATAAATTAGTATTTACAACACTCTCCCTTGGACATTACTGCATCATATCTATGTCTCGTTAAAAACCTTGCTACAAAACCCAATAAGAAAAAGTAGTCAGAAAAAGAGTACATTGACATGCAGATTTATGTGTTTCACTTGATGTCTCGTTAAAAATCTTACTCAGTAAAATCCAACAAGAAAAAAACTTAGCTAAGGAAAAAGAGTCACACCGGCCAACAAAGCCTAATCTTTAAGATTAAAATTGGCCTTTCTGGCTCGATCTTTAGAATTTATTTATCCCTCCCCCAGAAGGCAAAATTCTTTCTAGTTGCATTCAAAATTGTATGTTGCTCCCCTTCAATGTAAGAATTTCTAAAATAAAATCGTCACAATGCTTTTGTTGCTCTTCCAGAGTTAATATAGATTAAAAAAACTATCAAATGTATTTCGATAATTTATTTGTGTAACACAAGCTATATTATCTTCCATATAATTATGGAAAAATTTCAATAAAAAAAAATGATAAGGAGTTAATACCATTTCAGAGGTATATAATCAATCCAGGACCCAATACTTCAAAGATCAATTATACAACTGATGTCTTATCTACCAATATTATATATAAAGTCCAAAGATAACTCGACATAATTGAAAGCATAATGGGATATTCTCAAAGTTTATCACGATATCTCTCTAAAAAAGAGAAATAGTAAATCTTGCTAGCAAATTCATCGCAAATGCAGTATCAGGTCTGATGCAGTTTTCGTGATAAAAGTTCAACCCAATTGCACTTAGTAAATAAACTTCAAGTCATTTCTGGACTCCAAGTCCATTGGAACTTCAGGTCCTATAATATCCTCAGTTGTTTCTTTGAATCTTTATAAATGTTTGTCAAATTCAACATATTTAACACTAATTATATAATGTTATACTTTGACGTCTCTAAAAAGAGATTCAAATATATTGGTTGGGTCAAACAAACTACTTTTGTCATAAACTTTTCATTGAAAAATTCAAAATGGAGTAATAACATTGAAATAATCGTTAGATTGTCGTAGTAAAAGTAGAGCTCTAAATCAATAAAAAAATTTACATTATATAAAATGTTATGTGCAACTAATTATTATGAAAATTGTTTATGATAATAGAAATATAACACATGTAATGTAATTTTCATTTAATTTTTGATAAGTAGTAATTTTTTCGAAACAAACAAGATACATCTAGGTTGAAAACTCTTTAATTATTTTATTAGTATTATAGTAACTGAACAGAGGGTAAGAATGATATTCTACGTAATAAAAATGTAAGACTAGACAATGAGAAAGCATATAGCTCGCATTCAATCCATAAGTCAAAAAAGTGATAAAATTAATTAATGTATTATATCAGTTGGAACAAGCTAATGGAAATATAAACATATTCAAGATGAACATTTATATTTCCTAGACATTTTAAGTACATAAAAAAATATATTTTTGGTATTAAAAATTGGTGTGTTAGTCTTAATTTTTTTAGTTGCAAATTTAATTACTGTCTATCATTAAAATTTTCAATTTTAAAATACTTACTAATTATTTATTTGTTACTCTTTTATATGTAATATATAACACCATTTCTTTGCAACAATGTTTAATTTAACCAATGTGTTGTAAATAAAATAAAATTAATTTATTTATTGCTATCGATATAAAATGATATATATATATATATATATATATATCAATACTAATTTAGAATAATAAATTTACCTAAATTTATCTTATAAAATAAATTAAAAATACATATTAAATAATTTTTATTGAGTATGAAAAAAACATAAGATAAACTTTTGCTATATTTTACTTACATAGATTTGAAATATTCATACAAATAAAAAAACGCACAAAATTGATGTAAACTTACAACTATTGCCGACATTAACTATGCGAAATAAAAGGAGAAATAAATGAATTGTAGTTTAATAAATTATTCAGTTACTGCATGAAAGGAACACCATAATGGCTGTAACATATAACATATATTTTCAATGAATACGAAAATGAGTTAATTACTTAATATTTTATCTAACAATGAAAAAAATCCTAAACTTTTTAATCTTATAACCAGTATAAAAGTACATTTTTCAAATATAATAGTATTATAAATAAATAAATAATATTAAATAGTATTTGTCGTGTTTGTTTACACGAGTTGTAACCTAATTAATAAGATATTTTGATTACAACGTCGTTATATAAAGTACGTACAAAAAAATGGCGCAATACATATAAATATGCTCTAATTCTTTTAACAAATAAATATTATTTATTAATAGAATAAGAAACAAATAAACCGATAATAATTCAATGGGAAAATAAAAGGTTTGATTTTTCTTAGAGAAATATAAATATCAATATCTAGAAACAAAATTCTTCTAAAATTACTACTTTTTTTTTTGTGCTAGCGTCTAAATATATGAACTCTATAAGAAATTAGTTCTCACAAATAATATCATATATTATCAAGAATTTTAAATAATTAAAAAGATAAAAAAAACCACCCCCGTGGGTTTTCACAGAAAGTTCAAACATGGGTTTTCACCCTAGGGCTGGAGCACTGTGGAAGTACATGAGTCCCCGGTGCATGGTCATGGCCCACCAGGGGTCCCACCCCCCAAGAGGGAAGACCGGTGGGTACGACCATCAACAAAACACATTAAAGATGTTATTAGACATATAAGTACTGTAAATTCGAACGAATGTGAAAGATATTATGATAAACAACGTTAAATTCATTGCAACAACTAAGATAGCTAGCTATAGTCAATGATTTGCAAACAATAGATTATATAGTTCATTTGTTTTCCAAATAAATATCATTGAAAGAAAAAATATCGAACCCTGTTAACACATTCTTGAATGTTTGAATGAAATTGTCCATTTTTTATAGTAATATTTACAATTTCATTGTGCATTTTGCTTGAACATGTGTGCAATTACTTTACAGTATGTACTTTCATGTAATGTGATGATTTCAAGAAGTAATATAGCGTCTCGAAAGAAGTACATGTAACCAAGATTTTAAAAAGTCAACTTTATTTGTAGATGAAATTCATTTACACTCCGTGGGGCAATGCCTCCATGGGCTAGGTACCAATTTGTCTATATGGACATAATAATGAAGTAGTTTATACAATGATAAATATATATATATATATATATATATATATATATATATATCAACACTCTAATGATACTATTTGTTATTTTACAAAGATATTCATGAACTGTTGGTAGAAATACCTTATAAAGATCATACAATTATGAAGTTTGACTATATGTTTGATCAAAATATTTACAAGTGTTTGAATGAAGTAAACTTTTTGCCAAATGAATTAAGAAGAATTTTGCAATACTACTAATGTACTAGGCTCCACCGAGTATGAATGTTTCTTGTGAAAACATCAAAACTAAAAATGAAAGAAAATCGCTTTGTAATCATCTAATATAATTAAATAAAATAACTAATGCATCTATAATAAACATTATGTCTTTATTTAGTTATTTAGTGTTTTTTTCATTAGGGCCTATATTTGTTGGGGTTGTAATATGTTACCTCATTCTTTTTATTTAGACATCATTATGTTATTTAAAATAAAAATTTTAGAAGTTCATTTGTTCTATATTTTACTTTGTTCCTGCAATGATATGTTTAGTAAATTAATTTATTTCTTACTAAAATTAATTGGCACAAAACATTCACCACCACGTGCGATGCACGTGCACTTTACTAGTTCTTAAAAAAAAACACGTTGTCGCTTAATCTTAGGGAAAAGACTACAGTCCCGTCACGGAATAGTTCCGTGGGGGATTTTAGCCATATATTATCTTCGGGAAAAGACTAACTTGCATATATATCTAAACACTAAAATCCCTACAGAACCATTCTGTGACGGGACTGTAGTCTTTTCTGAATTATCGTTTCTTTTTCTTTTTATAATTTACAAGATATATATCCTACTCTCCCTATCTCTTTAACCAAACAATAAAACGAAACCATATTACAAAAGTTACTCTACCAAATATAAGAAATTAAAAATATATATATACATAAATCAGAAAATAAATAAGGAAAATAAAAAAAAAAAACATGTATTTAACAAGAAAGAATATAAATGTATAAATCCCCTTCACAAACAAGCTGTTTCAAGAACTTTACATGGTATACAATATCAACACACACCTATCCCTAACAATATGAACTTCATTATTCCTCCTACACAAAATTATTACTTCACATCCCAAGCCTACTAAATTCCATACTTCTGTATTTCTAACATTTCCTTAACCCAAACCAAAAAAAAAAAAAATAAAAAAAAAATAAAAAATACTTCTTGTTCGTGGTATTAGAAACAACCTATATATCAGGCCACGAAATCAGATAAAAGGTTGGCATTAACAAATCTAGTCTGGTTATTCCCCGAATGATCCACATAATAATACTCGTTCACAGACCCGCTGCCCGAAGACGGCTTTGAATCTTTCTCGCTTTGTCTCAACCCGAGCGCAAGCGTAACTGCATGATTTCCGATCATCCCATCCTTTTGCGGTTCGCGAAAATTGCTACCGCCACTCCCACTAACGAAATTCAATTTGGTCTCCAATTGAGTCAACCCGAAGTGGACATTTTGATCACCCTGAAAAACGTCGTCCGGGATCACCATTTGGCTCTCGTCGATCAATGGATGAGATATCAAGCTATTATTTCCTTGAAGATCTACGCCTCTCTCGTTGAAAGATTGTGGTGTGTCTTGAGCATGTTCGGGTGAGGACTTGGGTTCGTTTTCGGCATTTCCAAATTCTTCCTTGTACATCTCCTCAATCATTGGTTTCCAAAGGCGTACACGCGCATTGATAAACCAATTCGCCACCTGCATATCACAGAAATAATAAGGTCACAATGCCTTTGTGAGAATCGGGGGAGAAAGGGTGCAATCCCACGCAGGTGAAGCGCACGGTGAATCTAGGTGCACTTTAGTGAGGTTTCATTCCAAAACCAATTGGTGATGGGAAGAATATCCCTTAGTCTTATAAACTAGACTCATTTTCTCTATGGAATCAATGTAGCACCACTGATAAGTGATGTTTTGCTCAATGGTGCTGCAAATGGCAATATGCCTAACCGATATTCGAATGAGGAGTTTGATGAGCCAAAGCTAAAACGAGTTCGGTTTTGGCACGTAAAATTGAATATTTACCTGGCTCCTCGTCAATCCAGTCTCCCTCGCAAGAATAATTTTCTCTGAGTCTTTTGGGTAACTGTCATTCAATACTAAACAAAAATCAGTGTTTTCATATACACCACAATCCAGATAAAAAAAACATAATGAAAGAAAAAAAAAAATAGAAAAGAAAACGCACGGGTGCAGAAAGTGTTCGAACAGCCATGCGCGAAGAACCGAGACAGCATTCTCAGGTAGACCCCTTTGTGGCCTCCAAGGTTGTCTCATCATCAGCCCATGATGATTGGGATGATGTCCGAACCCGACAAGTCCCGATCTCTGCTGCTGCCTAATCTGCTGGTCCACGTGGCGTAGGCGGGACAATATGCAGGCACCTTGAGAGCTCGAGTCCTGATCCCCTAAATTCTTCTGTGCCGACTCGATTTGTTTCTTGATTGCATCGTGAAGGATTCGAAACTGGCGGGAGATTGTGCGGCGGGCGAGGGAGGTGTAGGGAAGGGAACCGCCGGGGCCCACGGCCAAGTCGAAGGACGATGACAGGGCTCGGATTTGGTGCCGATATTGTCTGTACCTTTTGTCCACCTGATTAAAATGAGTGAAATGTGAATATTCAAGAATATAATTAATTCACTTAACTCCAATAACTACAATCATCAATTGGTGTTCTTGAAGTTCTTTTGTTTTACTAATCAAGATGAAAAATGTAGATAGCAACATATCTATTTAATTCTCCACTTTCATCTGTGATATTGAAAGTTTTCTTCTCTGTTTTTTCATTGTAATCACCCCAAACTCATAGTACTCATTAAGGGCCTAAACTAGATCAACAGTGAAGAATGATAATAAGCTATAAAATGAACAACAAGATAAATAAAATTTTAAATGGACAACACCTGTATTAGTTTTACCTCATCCAACAATGACAGGAGTTTGGTCAGCTTGCTCTGCAAATCGTGCCGTTCGGACGCTGAGAGCTCGCGGGCCCCACCATCGGCCGACTCCTTAATTTCCTCCCCAATGGACGAACCCGAATCCCGAGCTTTTTCGGGCCCCTTCCCAACCCCATGCATGCTCACCAATTCGTCGAGCAAATCGCGGGCCGCCTTAAGATACTTGGAGTTACTAATCACACCCGCAACAACATCCGGCCCTCCTCCTTGACTCGTGTCCTGAAAATCGCAAACAGGTCCTCCGAATCTGAGAGAGTCGCAATTCTTGCCGACCGAGTCGAAAGATACGACGTACTGCGCGTCTTTGAGGTCGGTATCGTGATGAGGGATCGAATCAAGCAACGAGCAGATGCTAGAATTCGCGTACTCGTTCATATCATCCGAATTTATGTGTGCGAACGAGGCGGCTTGATCTTGAGACCCCAAGCTTAGAGATAGGCCGCCGTGACTGAAGTTTAGCTGCCGGTTTATTTGGTCGACGTTCGCGTGCTCGGAAGATTGAAGGGAAGAAGAAAGCTTGTAGTTCAGCAGGTATTCAGAAGGAAGCATGTGATGATCTTCTTCATTTGAATAAAATGAAGCCATTTTACTTCCTTTTTTTGTTCCCCAATAGAGTTAGCTGAGGAAGGCTAAACCATACATACCAAGTGGTTTGTGTTAAGCTGAGGAAAAAAAAAAAAAGATTGAAACTTTAA